ATTATACATAAGTTTTCTTATAAAATTTTGAAAAAATAGCCATTTTGTTTCAATGGAATCATGTTTTTAAATAATTGTGTTATATATATATATATATATATATATAAATATATAATATATATAATATACAGATTATTATTTAAAAAATATGATTTCCAACGATTTTATAAGATAATAATTATATATATATTTTTATATAAATATATATATATATATATATATTATTATTATTATTTAAAATATGATTCCAGTGCTACATAAGAGTTCTCATGTATCAAAACAAGAGCCGAAAACTTCAATATAATTATTTGAATTGAATTAAAGTACTAAGCTCTGTTCCATCTTCAAGCGAATTTTTTTGGGAATAACTAATTCCTGAAATTTACACGTTTTATAAGCATATTCATTATTGCAATTAAGATTACTATGGTAACGGTTAGAGCAATTGTTCTTTCCTAATTTCTATATATTTTACACACACACACACACACACACACACACACACACACACACACACACACACATATATATATATATATATATATATATATATATATAAAGAAATATAGTCTTAAGATGTGCTATATTTATGGAATAAAGGGCTCAATATCAGATAGAGCATGTGTAAATATAAAAGTGAACATAAGTCAACACTTACAGCCTCTATGTTGACTTCTATGTTCACTTTTTATATATATATATATATATATATATATATAGTCAAATATGTATCATTGAGTAATATATACATATTATGTCTATTTATTTTTATAATAATTTTGTACTTTCTAATCCGCTTCCATCAAGGAAGGCGCTGTACTTCTCGATCTCCTCCTCAATTGTCCTCACACTTGAATTACAAAGGCAAACTTATTGTAACTGCGATGGTTGTGATGGTGATTTTTAAAACACGCATGAACGCACTCTGTTATAATTATTTTAAATAACACACACACACACACATACACCCCCCCACACACATATATATATATATATATATATATATATATATATATATATATATATATATATAGAATGAACAGTAAGATATATAATCCGGTGTTCTTATTGATATTTTTATTTTTACAAAATTGTGCTCATTGTAAATTTAGAGAGGATTCCAAATTAACTGATTTAGAAATATGTTTTTTTTTCGCTACACAGCTCTAACCATGTTTCAAAAATGGAAGATAAAAGGTTCGAATTTAACTTTGTAATTAAAGTAAAGACATTAGTTCCATTTCATCCTCAAGCGAATTTTGGAGTAACTCATTTTTAAATTTACTGGGTTTTAAAGGCACGGCAAAAATCATAATTTACAGTTTCCAAGGATACAGAGAAATCCATTCATCCAGACAAGGGGGGTAGCGTGTTCATTTTATTAACTTTTATTGTATCAGTTATTAGTTACGTTTGAAAAAAGGGTTATGTTTATGTAAGAGTAGGGATGTATTTTTCAACGAATTCTGAAATCCGTTAAATGCAAGGCGTCTGGATTTTTTATATATATATATATATATATATATATATATATATATATATATATATATATATATATAAAGAGATGGTCGAGTGGAACGTTGCATAGATCTACAGGGAATAGGAAGTTTGGGCCAAGCCTTGAAGTGACCTCACACATAATAGACAATGAGTTTATCCTTAACGAATAAATTTAATTGTTCCTGGCATATGAACATATTTTAGTCTATCTTCAGAAATCGCGACATTACTTTTCAAACAGCTGAAGACGAAAATTACAAAATACTGTCTTTTCTCCTCGAAGATTGAGATTTACTGCGGAATTTCTCAAATTTCTTCTAACATATGACAATGTCTTTCGCGTCTAGTTTACTGTCTCTTTTGCATTACCATTATGACCTAAATATTCTCAACTAATGGAGAACCTATATATATATTTGCACAGTTGTTATGGATGTTGGATTTGTCATTTTGTGTCATTTATCATAAGAAATAAAGCGTTTATCCACAGCAGAGGGTGAAGCCGACCATACAAGAGTATCTGTTCGATCCAGAGGGACATTATGATACAGCCGTTATAAGAAAATCAACATGTTTACTCTCAAGGTGAAAACCAGAAAAAAGACAAACAAATCCCCTACCGTGAAACTACCACTCAGTGGTATGTCGCAGTAAATATTATTAGATTAGAAATTTCATTTGTTGATGTGGGATTTTCATGAATCCCCATTGAAAATTCTGTCAAAGATTTCGTGACAAAACCTTTCAAAAATTCAAAATCATCTTGTTGCCATTTGGATTTTTTTAAAAATGTCGGTACCAGAAGGACGCATGCGCAGAATCACGTTTATTTTTATTTCGCTTTATGTATTCTGAATTAAATTTTTTTTTTGTTATTTCTTTTTTTATTTTAAACGGATTTTTTTTTATTTTATGCATGCTAATTTTAATGGCGTTTTTCATGTTTATTTTTAATTAAATTTTATTTTCTGCTTTCTAATTTTAATGGATTTCTTTTCGTTTATTTATTCATTTTAAAAGTATTTTTATTTAAATGGACTTTTTATTTAATGCCTGCTAATTTTAATTTTTTATTTGTTTATTCGAAATGGATTTGTATTTTATGTCTGCTAATGTTAATGGAGATTTTTATTTGTTTATTTAAAATGGATTTTTATTTTGATAATTTTAATAGGCCTCTTTTATTTTATTTATTCATTTTGAAAGTTTTTTATTGTATTTTTAAAAATTTGAATGTATTTTATATTTATTTTAAATGAATTTTTAATTTTATATCTTCTAATTTTAACGGAATATTTTATTTGTTTATTTCGAATGGAATTTTATATTATGTTTACTAATGGATTTATTTTATTTATTCATTTTGAATGTATTTTTATTTTATTTTATTTTTAATCTTAATGCAGTTTTTATTTATTTTAAATGGATTTTTTATTTTATGTCTGTTAATTTTAATAGGCCATTTTATTTTATTTATTTATTTTCAATGCATTTTTTATTTTAATTTTAATTGATTTTTTATTTTATTTGATCATTATGAATTGACTTTTTTTATTGTATTTATCTGTGTTGAATGGTTTTTATTTTATTTTGAATGGATTTGGTATTTTACTTCTTTTACTTTTAATAGAATTTTTATTTTATTTTTTTTAATTTGCATGTATTTTTATTACTTATTTATTTTGAATTAACTTTTTATTTTATTTATTTAGTTGCAGTGTCTGTGATTTTTTTTATAGTTTTCCTCTTTGAATTTTCTGATGAATCCTAATGACTGAGTAAACATTTTACAAGTTCCATGACTGTAAAAAAAATCTTGGAAATTCCTGTATTGCGTTAAAAATTTAAGCTTAACAAATTTAACAAAATATTGCAATAACAACCATAAGCAATTATTTAAAGAAATAAGAGGAAAAGATTCAAAATTGGCAATTTTTTTCCATTTCGCGGAAGTAGACGTTAAACACATGAGAACATTATCGCTCCCTCTCTCTCTCTCTCTCTCTCTCTCTTTCCTTTTCTTTCTTTGTGTGTTTATATGCCCTTATTATGTATTCCCTCATTTTTTTCATTAGACCCAAATAGTGTCTCTGACACAATATTTTCTTCTGTCTTTCCTCACAATCAAATCGAAATGATCCATTATCTGAGGTTTTATTTACTTTAATTCTTTATTATTTATGCTATTTATTTTTAATCGTTTTATTTATTCATTTTGAAATGTTTCATATTATAATTTAATAAGTTCTGATGAAAAATAGTTTTACCTCTGTCAACAACGGTGCGAAAAGGCGATCATTCCAAGAATTTGTCAGGTGTTCAATTTATTTCAAACTAGCAGTATAAACTTTCTTTTACCTGGTCTTTCATTATTGGGAAATGTTGTTGTTCAATTGGAGCAGTTTAACTTTAAAGTCTGCCCACACGAAAATCAATATCAGTAACAAGATTTGGGTGCAACTGAGGCCCATCACCAAATGGGAGGTTAACAATGGGATGGGGGGTGCTGAAAAGGGAACTGTATAACAATAAATAATATTATTGTAATAATTTAAACTATTTATTTTATTCAAGTATTTATGAATGATATATTTCAAAGAACACATAGTAAATAGTAAAACGTTGCTGAGAGTTATAACGGACTGGAAGTAATCTATCTCTCTATCTCTCTATCTATCTGCATATATATATATATATATATATATATAGAGAGAGAGAGAGAGAGAGAGAGATAGATAGATAGATAGATAGATAGATAGATAGATAGATAGATAGATAATGTCTGGCTCCTCGTATCCGAGGCACATTCGTGTTTGCTCTACAATCACAGAGCCCACCAGTGTCTTATACTGCAACAATGCTGAACGGACCGTAGTTACAGGTTATAGAAGAGATAGATAGATAGATAGATAGATAGATAGATAGATAGATAGATAGATAGATATGAACAGACATTAAGATAGATGAAGATAGATAGATAGATAGATAGATAGATAGATATGAGGCACCAAGATAGATAGATAGATAGATAGATGATGCACCAAATAGATAGATAGATAGATAGATAGATGAACAGGTAAGATAGATAGATAGATAGATAGATAGATATGAATGAAGGCACCAAGATAGATAGATAGATAGATAGATGAACAGATAGATAAGATAGATAGATAGATAGATAGATAGATGATAGATAGAATAGATAGATGATAAGATAGATAGATAGATAGATAGATAGATAGATAGATAGATAGATAGATCTGAACAGACATTAAGATAGATAGATAGATAGATAGATAGATAGATAGATAGATATGAGCACGCATTAAGATAGATAGATAGATAGATAAAAACACACATATATGCAATTCAAAATGAAGAATACGGTCAGTCTTCAAGGAATTGTGAGCTAAGAGGCAGTTACAGAAATTCAGAAATGAAAAGAATAAATGAATACACAAGACAAACGTCAACATCAAAGCTGGCACTGTGTTGGCGACATGAATATTTCGGGAACACTGGGGGCGAAACTGATCACTCTGTACGCCCGTCCTTACCCACAGCCCAACAGGTGACATTCATCATTCTTACAAAAGGTTTCGTCAATAATTAGTTACGCTCTGCAGGGAAAAGCCTGGTATTAAAGGCGAGGTTATACCTGCCCAATGGTTGAGGCGCAAAATCCTACAAGGGAAGGAGAATGATTAGGAAATGCTGAAGGTGAGAAAGGAGGGGAGAGTAATATCTTGCAGTGTCGGAACCTTTGTGATTTCTTCTGGCTTGTTAAAAATAGATATTATCATTATTATTGTTATTGTTAGTAGTAGTAGCAGTAGTAGCAGCAGTAGTAGTAGTAGTATTAATAATAATAATAACAATAATAATAGAAGTTGTTGTACGAGGAGGGTGCTGAAAATGTATGTTTGACCCACTTCCTAGAATTAGTAAGGCTTACGGCCATATCATGTTGAACGTGCGGGTGGTGTAATGGATAAGGATTGACAAAGTAGATTAATTTCCGCAGTAGGTTGCCATTTCTTTCTGCGGTAGACCAGTTGCCATCCAAGGCTATAGAACCCGGTCTATGCTGCTATTTACCCATAGCTAGGGGAAGAAAAGTTTTCATACCTTTCCCAAGGGTATTAGCACATAAGTGAATGTAATGGATTAGATAGATAGATAGATAGATAGATGTAAACAGCCCGAGATAGATCAGTGATGTGCCATGCGTGATACACCCTTAGGTGATCATATATCTTTTGATACATGACTGACGAGACAGATTTTTCCCGCAGTATGTTGCCATTTCTTTCTGTGCTAGACCAGTTACCATCTAATGCTATGGAACCCGCTTTGTCTTGCTATTTACCCATAGCTTGGGGAGAGAAGAAGAGGATTCATACCTTTCGCAAGTGAATGTAAAGGATTCGACTGGAATTCGAACTCGGCTCTCCGATTTCTCAAACCGAGCTGCTATCCATTACTCCACCATTACTTAAATAAATAAAAATGCAATATTGTTAATATTTAACAGCTCCCCCACCCAGAGGGATGCATGTAGCAAAAGGCCGAGTTTAACGTGGGTTCTCCGAGCCCGTAGGCTCGTCCAAAAATATCCCCTTAGAACCGGAATAAACGGGTTCAGTGCCTGTCTACCTCCCCGGACGAACCTTTGCCCTTTGGTAAAGACACGTCCGGGTTCCTCTCTGCCGAGGCAGAGAGTTCGACAGTCGAACAGGCTAAAACACTGTTTCCAATAAAATGCGATATTGTTTTTTTTTTTTTTTTTTTTTTTGCGTATCTTTTCTTTAAGTTTTTAAATACAAGAATCCAGTTTCCAATTGGCCCTGAATTTGCGAGAACTATAAACAAATCACAAGGCCAAACACTTCAAAAAGTTGGGATTTGGCTCCAAAAAGAAATATTTACGCATGGCCATTTGTATGTTGCATGCTCAAGACATCCTAAGATGTTGTATACTAAAATTCTAAAAAAAAAAGCCTTAAATTCGGATGTTTGTTGGTAGGTTAACCTCTAACGTTGATGAAAATATTCACTTTATCAAATAAACTGATAATAAAAGTAATAATACCATTTCTACCTTTTATATGACTGGCATAACTTCATAATACATTGCCTATTCGAAGAATAATTCTATATCAATGAATAAAATTTTATCCATGCAAACTCAATTGAGAAAAAGCAAACATCAAGTTTTGATTGCGTTCACAGCAACCTTTATCTTTCGCTAAACTTTTAAAAATCATCATAGACGTGTTAATTACAGCAGTAATAATATTTAGGTTAAAAATATTCATTTCTCATTAAAAATTCATTATCATTTTGCTATTGAATAGTAACACAATTTAAGATTACATACAACCTTTATTTTTCGAATAAATATCCTTTTATGGTAGTTGCATTAAAAAGAAGAAGAATCAGTATTCGCAAGAGATCACGTGATGAAACGTAAACAAAACAATGGTTTCCCTTTTAGGGGACATGTGTAGGAAAAAAATCATGGTATAGAATCGGTTTTGTTATTTCGTTTATTTTCAATTTCTAAGGATACCGCAAGGAACACACTTTCCATTACTATCTTTATATAATCAATAGGCAGTCGCCTTATACTACAGGTATAGGATAAATTCATGAAACTTTGTTGTAGTTTTTCACCTCGTCTTATCTGAAGGTCGCCTCATAAGCGAACATATACGGTATATATATATATATATATATATATATATATATATATATATATATATATATATATATAATTTGTCCCACATAGAGAAAGTGAAAACACGTAAGAAAAATGTAAGGCGTATGTAAAATAATAAAAAGCGATAACTTCAACAATACTAAAAACTGTTAGGATTTCAACATGTGTCAATATATTGCCAAAAATTCTAGTAACTCACAAAATTGCGAATCAATATTTGTCAAATTTAACCTAGTCCATTCTTAAAGGTTGGTAAAATCTCGAACTAAATTCTAAGTGACTTCTAATGTTTATATTGAGATATTTGTAAGTTACGAAAATGGGCTAACAGAAGTTATTATGCAAGTTATACCAATATTACACCCGTGTGCAAATTAACTGAAACAACCGCTTTAGTTTCCTTCCTTTCACCATACGGTCAGTTTTAGACCCACTAGAGTGACAGGGTGTAATTAATTTCTATTTTTCCTCAGTTTAGGTCAGTTGCAGTGGTGTACAGTAACATGAATCTATTTTCGGGGTGTATGATGAAAATTGTTTGATCTTGAAAAATATTTCGTCAGATTTTCATCACGCCCAGACACTATTGTCTCGACTGTCGATTAGTTGTCCTACGGCTATTATTTGCGATGGACGTTACTCCAAGGAAGTTTACGAAAATTGCAACGCCGCACGAACACACTGGCAAGCCTTACCAGCGAGCAAATCAAAGTACTATCGACTGGCTCCTGATTTAAATCCAATCGAGAATCTATAGTCAATGTGCAAAGAAAAACTTCGTGGAATGGATATACGAAGTACTAACATGTGCACTGGGTAATGTTTCATTGGAAGAATACGAAAAAAGTAGTATTCGTTATGTTTCAATTAATTTACTCAAAGATGTAGTACAAAGCCCCAGAAAGCTAATAAAAACGTTTTTTTTTTAATATATGTTGAGACATGCGTAATGGGATTATCTAAGAAATGCCGAAAAACAGAAAATAAAAAAGTTATTGAGTCACGGAATGCCTATAGAGATTATCGAAATACAATAAGAGCTGTTGAAAATATAATGTTGAGAACTAGTAGCAAAGGAAAAGAGTTTAAGAACTCGTCTAACAGGCTTGAATTGGTGGGGGTCAATACTTTGAAAATTGGAATATGTTAAGAAATCTTTTAGGCGAATTTTCTCTCAGTAGAGGAAATATTTCAAAGCGTCATAACTGGGCCAAGAAATACATGAAAATTGACTTTTGTAAAGAAATTTTCACGGAAAAATCTCAGGTGACACTCGATAAACCTGACGGATCGGCGAAAAGATGGAGTTTATTTGATCAGACGTGCCTGTGGCTAAAAGAAAACAGCAAGGAGGTGGCAATCTGATGATATGCGCTAGAATCATCGACCAAACAATTATTGGACCATTCAAAGTCGATGAAGGTGTTAAATATTGTGATTTAACGGACAAAACTTTCTTTAAATTTTATAATTTTTTCTTATAACATTCAAAGAAAGTTTTGTCGCAGTTTCTAAGTCAAATCTGTATTTATGCACGACAATACTGCTTGTCATGTATTAAATTACCAGTAAATGCTTGTCATGTAATTGAAATTACCAGTAAATGTTTTGAGCTTACAAGGTTTACATGAGAGAAGATAATAGAATGGCCACCCTCAAGTCCTGATATGAATCCAATCGAAAATCTATGGTCAATTGTGAAGATGAAATTATATTAAGGTGGCAAACGTTATGCTAACAACCATAATGATGAGGAAAATAGTCCGTATTGAAATAATGTAAATAATATTTAGAAACATTCAATTCATTAATCTCTTCAAATTCAAATTAGTTTCTCTTATACACTCATATACAGACACACAAACACACGCACACACTCTCTCTCTCTTTCTTTCTCTCTCTCTCTCTATATATATATATATATATATATATATAGATACATATATATATATATATATATATATATATATATATATATATATATATATATATATATATATATGTTATTTTTTTTTTTATCATTGGGTCGGCTGGAACACCTTTATCGGCAAATTGAATTTTTTTTTCTTTTTCATATCCACTATCAATTCTAGCCTCCTTTGGGTAGTGGGGTCCGTTGGAATTACTTTTATTCGTTTTATATTTCGAATATCTCAGTTTTAGAATCTCTTGATTACAAATACGGCCGAACTCGTCATGAAAGAAAAGAGCTGCCCACAAAAAGGAAATGCCAAGTATCTTTCAAAACAGAACTAACATTAAACAAAAAAGCCATTCCATATCGGACCAATGTCGATGCCAGGCATCTGCCTTTGCTTGTGTTGAAATATTTATTGCTGAGGTTGGAAAAAAAAAGAGAAAAAAAAAACGTGTTGGGCTTTCATATTTCCTTCCGGGAGTGAAGATATGATTCACAAAAGTTAGCGCCAATTTTTTTTTTTTTTTTCTTTCTTTCTTTCTTTCTTTCTTTCTTCTGCGTAACGTTCTTCCCATTATTTTATAAATAGTCCCACACAATTCTTCTCTTTCTTTCTTTCTTTCTTTCTTTCTTTCTTTCTTTCTTTCTTTCTTATATGCCCTGTCTTTTTCTTTCTTTCTTTTTTCATTCTGAGTCTCATATCCACTATCATCCTTTTTCTTTCTAGGATTATATCTTTCTTTCTCTACAGTTATTTCTATTCACTATCTGTCCTTTCTTTCTTTCTTTCTTTTTATATGCCCTGTCTTTTTCTTTCTTTCTTTTTTCTTTCTTAGTCTCATATCCACTATCATACTTTTTCTCTCTAGCATTATATCTTTCTTTCTTTACAGTTCTTTTCTATTCACTATCTGTCCTTTCTTTCCTACTTTCTTTCTTTCTTTCTTTCTTTTTATATGCCCTGTCTTTTTCTTTCTTTCTTTTTTCATTCTTAGTCTCATATCCACAATCATCCTTTTTCTCTCTAAGATATATCTTTCTTTCTTTACAGTTCTTTTTTATTCACTATCTGTCCTTCCTTTCTTTCTTTCCTTCTTTCTTTCTTCCTTTCTTTCTTTCCTTCTTTCTTTCTTTCTTTCTTTCTTTTTATATGCCCTGTCTTTTTCTTTCTTTCTTTTTTTATTCTTAGTCTCATATCCACTATCATCCTTTTTCTCTCTAAGATATATCTTTCTTTCTTTACAGTTCTTTTTTATTCACTATCTGTCCTTTCTTTCTTTCTTTCCTTCTTTCTTCCTTCCTTCCTTTCTTTCCTTCTTTCTTTCTTTCTTTCTTTCTTTCTTTTTATATGCCCTGTCTTTTTCTTTCTTTCTTTTTTCATTCTTAGTCTCATATCCACTATCATCCTTTTTCTCTCTAGCATTATATCTTTCTTTCTTTACAGTTCATTTCTATTCACTATCTGTCCTTTCTTTCTTTCTTTCTTTCTTTCTTTCTTTCTTTCTTTCTTTCTTTCTCGCCTTCCTCTTTTCAGATTTTATTCTTTATTATTCCTTATATACTTTCTCTTTTCTACATTCTCTTCATTACGATTTTTTCTTTCTTTTTATATTATTCGTTAAAGTTTTCTTTTCTTCTCTTTTTATCTTCTTACCTATTTTTTTTGCTTAGATTCTTCAAACTACTTTCTTTCTTTTAGTTTTTCTTTTTTCTTTTCATTTTTCTCTTTCCTTTCCGTCATTTCTTTTGTTTTTCTGGTGGGCGGGGGGGAGGGGGGGCTTACATAAAAGAGTGAGGATGTCATAAAAAAAGAAAGCAAATGATTGAATGAACACGAAACAGTAAGGACGAAATGAAATAAGGAAGAAACAATAGAAAAAGGAAAACAAAAGTCACTGGATGATTGAACGTAAAAAAAGATAAGAAAAACAATGAAAAGGTAATAAAGAATATCAAAATAGAAAGAAAGAAAGAAAGAAAGAAAGAAAGAACGAATAAATGATACGTAAGGAAATGGAGAAAGACGGTCCAGCGAATGAAAAAAAAAAACAGATTCCTTTCTTTCTCTCTTCTTTTGTATTCCCAGTCTTCTTTTTTTGTTCTTTTTCCGCCACATTACTTATTTGCTCATTTCTTTCTTTCAATCTTTCTTTTTTACATTTCTTTTCTATTCCATCCTTTTCTTTCTTTCTTTCTTCATTATCTCTTTTTTTTTATTCCAAATCAGATTTCCTTTTTCTATGTTCTCTCGATTAATTCTTTCGTTCATTCTTTCTTTAATTATTTATCTTCCATCCACTTTGAATCTTTTTCTCTTCATTACATCTCTCTCTCTCTCTCTCTCTCTCTCCACTTTTCTATTCACTAGCTGTTCTTTCTTTCTTTCTCTCTTTCTTTCTTTCTTTCTTTCTTTCTTTCTTTCTTTCTTTCTTTCTTTCTTTCTTTCTATTCCCCATGATTTTTTATTTTATTTTTCTTCTGCATTATACCTTTGTTTCATTCATTCTTTCTTTCTTTCTTTCTTTTTTCTTTCTTTCTTTCTTTCTTTCTTTCTTTCTTTCTTTCTTTCTTTCTTTCTTTCTTTCTTTCTTTCTTTCTATTCCCCATGATTTTTTATTTTAATTTCTTCTGCATTACACCTTTCTTTCATTCATTCTTTCTTTCTTTCTTTTTTCTTTCTTTCCTTCTTTTTTTTCTCTCTCTCTTTCTTTATTTCTTTCTTCCTTTCTTTCTTTTCTTTCTTTCTTTCTTTCTTTCTATTCCCCATGATTTTTATTTTATTTTTCTGCTGCATTACACATTTCATTCATTCATTCATTCATTCTTTCTTTCTTTCTGTTTTTTATATTCCCCTGATTTTTATTTTATTTTTTTCTTTTCATTTTTTTCATTCATTCATTCATATCCACTTTCTTACTTTTTTCTCTGTCTTTTTTATTTCTTTCTTTTTTTACAGTTCTTTTCTCTTACTTTTTCTGTCTAGGATTATATCTTTCTTTCTTTACTTTCTTTTCTTTCTATCTGTCCTTTCTTTTCCTTTCTTTTCTTTTTTCTTCCTTTCTTTTTATATGCCTTTTCTTTTTCTTTCTTTCTTTTTCATTCTTAGTCTCCTATCTTCTATCATTCTTTTTCTCTCTAGGATTATCTCTTTTTTTCTCTACAGTTCTTTTCTATTCACTATCTGTCCTTTCTTTCTTTCTTTCTTTCTTTCTTTCTTCTTTCTTTCCTTTCTTTCTTTCTTTCTTTTTCTTACTTTCTTAACTTTTTTATTCGCTATGATTTTTATTTTAATTTTCTTCTGCAATACCAGTTTTTATTTTATCTCTTCCATTTTCTTTCTTTCTTTCTTCTTTCCTTCTTTCTTTCTTTCTTTCTATCTTTTTATATGCCTTTTCTTTTTCTTTCTTTCTTTCTTCTTTCTTAGTCTTCTATCCACTCTGATTCCTTTTCTCTATTTTCATTTCTTTACGCTTCATTTCTATTCACTATCTCGTCTTTCTTTCTTTATTCATTTATTTCTTATCTGTTCTTTTCTATTCTCGAGGATTTTTCTTTCTTTCCTTTTTTCTGCATTATATATTTCTTTCCATTGCCTTTGTATTTCTTTCTTAGTCTCTTATCCACTATGATTCGTTTTCTCTCTATTTTATATCTTTCTTTCTTTCTTTTTTCTTTTTTATTCCCTCTCTGCTTCTTTCTTTCTTTTTCTTTTTCGTTTTTCTTCTTTTATATTCTCAAGTAGCTTTCCTCTTTCTATATCCTTTGCATTAATTCTTTCTTTCTTTCTTTCTTTAGGACTATTTTTACAAAATAAATGACACATTTAAAGAAGCCGCCCATTAAGAAAAAATAAGAAAGAAGTGAAGAAAGAAAAAGAAAAGTAAAATAAGAAAAATAAAATAAAAAAAAAATGATTGAAATATAAAAAAAAAGACAAAATGATTTTTTAGAAATTACACCTTCTTTTTTCTTTCTTTCGAAAATTCTTTCTTCTTTCTTTTTCTTTCTTTTCCCTATGATTTTTATTTTATTTTTCTTCTGCATTACACCTTCTTTCTTTCTTTCTTTTCTTTTCTTTCTTTCTTTCTTTCTTTCTATTCCCCATGATTTTTTATTTTATTTTTTTTTTATTTTTCTTTTTCTTTTTTTTTTCTTTCTTTCTTTCTTTCTTTCTTTCTTTCTTTCTTTCTATTCCCCATGATTTTTTATTTTATTTTTCTTCTGCATTACACCTTCTTTCTTTCTTTCTTTCTTTCTTTCTTTCTTTTTTTTCTTTCTTTTTTTCCCCTTTCTTTTTTTTATTTTGATTTTTTATTTTTTTCTTCTGCATTACACCTTTCTTTCTTTCCTTTTTTTTTTTTTCTTTTCTTTCTTTTTCTATTCCCCATGATTTTTTATTTTATTTTTCTGCATTCTTTCTTTCTTTCTTTCTTTCTTTCTATTCCCCATGATTTTTTATTTTATTTTTCTTCTGCATTACACCTTCTTTCTTTCTTTCTTTTTCTTTCTTTCTTTCTTTCTTTCTTTCTTTCTATTCCCCATGATTTTTTATTTTATTTTTCTTCTGCATTACACCTTCTTTCTTTCTTTCTATTCCCTTTCTTTTTTCTTTTTTTTATGATTTTTTATTTTATTTTTTCTTCTGCATTACACCTTTCTTTCTTTCTTTCTTTCTATTCATGATTTTTTATTTTATTTTTCTTTTCTTTCTTTTCTTTCTTTCTTTCTTTTCTTTCTTTCTTTTTCTTTATTCCCCATGATTTTTTATTTTATTTTTCTTCTGCATTACACTTCTTTTCTTTCTTTTCTTTCTTTCTTTTTTTTTTTCTTTCTATTCTTTCTTTCTTTTTTTCTTTTCTTTCTTTCTTTCTTTTTTCTTTCTTTCTTTCTATTCCCCATGATTTTTTTATTTTATTTTTCTTCTGCATTACACCTTCTTTTCTTTCTTTTTCTTTCTTTCTTTCTTTTTTTTCTTTTCTTTCTTTCTTTCTATTATGATTTTTTATTTTTTTTTTTTCTTTTACACCTTCTTTCTTTCTTTCTTTCTTTCTTTCTTTCTTTCCCTTTGATTTTTTATGATTTTTTATTTTTTTTCTTCTGCATTACACCTTCTTTCTTTCTTTCTTTTTTTTTTTTTTCTTTTCTTTCTTTCTTTTTTCTTTCTTTCTTTTCTATTTTTTTTTTTATTTTTCTTTCTTCTTTCTTTCTTTCTTTCTTTCTTTCTTTCTTTTTTTTTTATTTTTTATTTTATTTTTCTTCTGCATTACACCTTCTTTCTTTCTTTTTTTTTTCTTTCTTTCTTTCTTTCTTTCTTTTTTTTCTTTTCTTTAAATTTTTTATTTTATTTTTCTTCAATTACACCTTCTTTCTTTTTTCTTTCTTTCTCGCCCATTAAAAAAAAAAAACTCAAGGAAAAAAGAAAGCAAAAGAATGAAATAAAAAAAAAAAAAAAAAAAAGAAAAATAAAAAATATGATCAAAAAAAAATGGAAAATATGATCAAAAAATAATTTAAAAAAAAAGGAAGTAGGCAGAAATTCAACCGAGAAATATTATTAAAAAATGATCATAAAAAGAGAAAAACGAAAAGAAAATTTAAATTTCAAATAAATTTCAAATAAATTGGACTTAAAGTTGCCATTGCCGTAGGCGGAAATTTTACGCCCCATATGATAGGAGGAGGAAAAGCTGCCGCAGGGTTGACAGTCAGGGTCAAAGGTTATCGACACATTCGTCATGTTCCTGGTCGGTACAATTATCAACGTGCCTGCTAGATAACCCTGACACACGCCCGCCATGTTTCTTCGCTTAAACACACCAAACATGCACCAAGCTCCCGCCAAAAACATCAGTTATTTAGCGCATGCGAACCAACGACAGGAAGCCATCAATTCAACCGGAAACCAAAGTCTATTCTCTCTAGAGATAAAATTTATCACGGAATGTGTAAGATGGCAGTCGCAAAGCAAGTCTTCCAAACTATCGCTCGTAGATTGAGTTTATTCTCTGCTGTGTTTTACTAAAGAGGCTCTCTTTATCTGATTCGTCTAACTGAAATCTCTGTAGCCAGATTAATTGTGGCAAAGTTCTCCCTTATTTTGTCCTTATGCCAGACTAAATACTGCAAACATCTATGTTCAATTTTTATTGGGCAAATATTATCAACAACCCTATAAGCCGCCCTATTGAGCGGCATTTAAGCTGGTTGCTGCGGAGGGTTCTTGATTTGGCCTTCATCATAATACGTATGAGAGGAATAGATGCGATAGAAAACAATAAACTACAGAAGAACTCAAAATGAATTGTTGGATTTAAGTATTACATTAATATTTAAGCCTACCGTTTAAAAGTTCAACGATAATTCTTCTGTCGCCACTTAATTTAAAGTAAAATTTGATGCACGTAGGTTCTTACTTGCCGTACAGACAATTATTTTTTATTTCATGGGTGAGTTTCGCTGGATTCCGCCATTAATTTCAATTATTCACAAATTTATTTCCAAGTTATAAAAATTGTTGTAAAAAAAATTCGTCACAAAAAAAACGTCGAAAATAATCGCAGTAATGAAAACTTGAGAATCCAAAACTTCAGGGTTCCGGATCTGGATCTGGCCCGGAACGCTTTTAATTCGCTCACGGAGTCGGCCTGATTCCAAAATGTTATGTTATATTGGAGTTAAGCTGAAAACACCGACAATTTTATTTTGAAAACACTGTAATTTGAGAACAGCAATTTTTTTTCATTTGAACATGAGCTATTGAAAGTTAGAGTTGTGTCCCCTTAATTGTTTTTTATCAGTAGACTCCAAGATGGCGGATTCTGAAAACAATCAGAGTAATGAAAACTTGAGAATCCAAAATTTCATGATTGCGGGTCCTGGATCCGGTCCGGGATGTTTTTAATTTGCTTACAGTCGGCCTGATTCCAAAATGGTATATGTTGGACTACGGCATCTCGGAGTAAAGTTGCAAAAGTGTGACACACTGACATTCGCATTTATCATATAGATTTGGTCTCATTTACTGAAATTTTGTGAAGACAGTTTGTGAGAAAGTCCTTGTATCTAATTAAACTATGCCTACACTACACTGTTGTAAAGCAGATATCGTCAATTTAGTCTCACTTATTGGAATTTGTTTAGCGACATATTTGTGACACTGCACTCTTTTATTTTGTCCTTATGCCAGACTAAATTCTGCCAACATCTCAGATCGACAAATCTTATCAATTTAATCTCAATGATTGAAATTTGTCCGAGTTTAATTTTGGCAAAGTTCTCCCAAAATAGTGGCTGAACATGTTGGAAATGTATTTCTTAAAGGCGGATAGAAACTTGTAATGCACAAAAATATAGAAGGACCAGAAATATTCAAGTTTGAAGGCAAAAAAGCAGCATGAGCAGACAGGATCGTAAGGAAGACGCCTAAGACTCTTTCATACTCAGCCTATGAACTTTTCAGATGATTCTCGTATTAAGAGACAGGAAAAGTTTGGTACAAATTACAGAAAAGTTTGCTGAAATGCTATTTAATATTGGCTCTCCTATATACCAATGAGTGCGGGACAATCTCAGCAAATAGAAACTGAAAGCAACAAAAATGTGGTTTTACGGATGAATCCTAAGAATACATTGTACTGAACAAAAATGAGCATCCCTTGTGTTCCAGTGGCTTTACTGCCTTACATGGGGGGAAATCGATAAAAAAAAAAAAAAAAAAAAAAAACAATCGAACAAATATAATTTAAATATCTGTGAAGCGTCTTATAATCAGAATGTGCGTTGAAATAGAAAAAGATGCCTTCCAAACATTAAACAAAGTATTAAGGAAAAAGAAAATGAAAATTTCATTAGAAACAAAGATTACTGAACTGTTATGCATCATAGGTCCTCCTATATGACAGTGAATGCTGGACAAATGTCATTACAGATGAAGAAGAGACTGGAAGCAACTGAAATGTCGTTATACAGATAAATGCTAAGAATACTGTTGTGGTAGGATCCACCTAATTTGCATAGTGGAGTACCGACCATATAAATATGCTTGGTACCGGGAAGAGAGGGAGGAATCAAGAGATTCAACCAGAGACTCTGCCCGACTGCGACTCAGTCAACACATTCTCCAGGAACGGTCTTACCAGGAATATACAAAAGACTATATGTAGATATTGTGTACACTTTCTTGTTCAATACATTTTGTTCTAAGTACATTTTGTGTTGCATTATTATTCCATGCATTAGTCAAGTTTCAACAAATACTTTGTACTGAACAAAAGGAAGCAACGACAAAATTTTATGGAAACAGAAAAGAAACTTAAAATTATAATGAGAGAAAAAGAGTTGAAATATTTAAGGTACATAGGCTTACAGTCATTTCACATCCAGACAAGTTCCACTCAAACAGCTTCTTCCAGCGAACGACTAATGGACAAGAGACTTGAGGGAAAAGAGATGTCGTTCTACAGAAGGATGGTGAGAATATCATGTAAGAATAGCAGGTAAGTGTTAAGAAAAAGAAAAATCCAGTTGAAGTTCTATACTAACTAAGTTTCTTTTTCTCACACTTCTCGCTTGTGGAATTCTCTTCTGTTTTCATGTTTTCCAGTTAAATTTAATTTTTAAAAATGTAATTTCAATCTCAATCTCCTTCTACTGTCCTCCCGATTAGTCTTCTCTTGTCCTTGCTCCTTAGTAATGTTTATATTTTATAATTCTTCTACACTCAGTAACCCCTTTATGTCCTTGTGGCTTTACTGCCTTGCATGGGGTGAAATCGATAAAAAAAAAATTGAATAAGTATAATTTAAATATTTGTGAAGAGTCTTAACAGAAGACAGAAAATATGGCACCCTAATGAGAATGTGCGTTGGAATAAAGAAAGATGCCTTCCAAACATTAAGCAAAGTATTAAGAAAAAAAATGAAAATTTCTTTAGAAACAAAGAAAATATTACTAAACCGCTATGCCTTATCAGTCCTCCCGATCTGATAGTGAATGCTGGACAAACCTCATCACAGATGAAGAAGAGACTTGAAGAAACTTTTAAGGAAACAAAAAAGAAACTTAAATTTATAATAAGAGAAAAACAGTTGAAATATTTAGGGTGCAGGGGCTTACAGCCATTTCACATCCAGACAAGTTCTACTCAAACAGCTTCTTCCAGCAAACCACTGCCCTGTGAAACAGACTCCCAAGAGGGTGTTTCTGCGATCACTCTAATCTTAACCTGTTCAAGTCTAGAGTCAACAGATATCTCCCCCACCAATCCATATGTACTACCTTCTAACGTGAAGAGATAAAGACATAGCTAGAAAAGAACATAGATAGATAGATAGATAGATAGATAGATAGATAGATAGAAAAGATCTGAACAGACATAGATAGATAGATAGATAGATAGATGAATAGATAGATAGATAGATAGATAGATAGATAATGAAGATAGATAGATAATAGATAGAATGATAGATGATAGATAGATAGATGAACAGAATAGATAGATAGATAGATAGATAGATAGATAGATAGATAGATGAATGAATGAATAATGAATGAATGGGATGAAGATGACTGGGATAGATAGATAGATAGATAGATAGATAGATAGATAGATAGATAGATATGAACAGAACGAGATAGATAGATAGATGAATAGATAGATAGATGATAGATAGATGATTATAAGATGATAGATATATAGATAGATAGATAGATGATAGATAGATAGATAGATATGAACAGAACGATGAATAGATAGATAGATGAATGAATAGATAGATGATAATGAATAGATGATAGATAGATAATGATAGATTAGATGATAGATAGATAGATAGATAGATCCTGATAGATAGATAGAAATAGAAGATAGAGATTTGATTGGCTTCTCGACAATTTTTTCCTTCGATGAAACTGTTTCAGTAATCTATCAGGCTGGTGCAAAAATAACGACGTAATAATGTCGTTTTTGACGCATTTTTAACGTCAAAATAAACGACATTATTACGTCATTATTTTTATCATTATTTTTTCTATCTATCTATCTATCTATCTATTATCTATCTATCTATCTATTCTATCTATCTATCTATCTATCTCATTAAATCATTATGTATTTAGCTATATATCTGTCTATTCTATCAGTATATGTTTTTTATCTCTGTGTATCATTTTTATATTCCGTTCGTTTATCTATCTATATATATATATATATATATATATATATATATATATATATATTAGGTTATTGCAAAAATAAGGACGTAATAATGTCGTTTTTGACATTAAAATACGTCAAAAACGACATTATTACATTATTTTTTTTCAACCTAATATATATATATATATATATATATATATATATATATATATCTTTTTGTGTATATCATTAGCTAATTATGTATCTATTTATCTATATTTATACATGTCTCAGTCTGAGCTCTCTCTCTCTCTCTCTCTCTCTCTTTCTCTCCCTCTCTCTATCTATCTATCTCAGTATGTCTGTTTCCATCTATCTATCATTTATCATATTCCGTCCGTTTCTTTCTTTCTATCTCTCTATCTATCTATCTCTGTCTCTCTGTCTCTCTGTCACTGTCTCTATATATATATCATATATATATATATATATATATATATATATATATATATATATCAGGTCATCCCATAAGTTCTGTCCGAATTGTAATTTTTTGTTCAAATGAACTAAATTTAAATAGTATTTTATAATGTCTAATGGAGCTGAACATTATTTTTGTTTAGATGCATTTAAACTGATCAAATTTTATTTCAGAGAACAATAAAATTGAATTTTGTTTGATTAAAACCCTGCTAACATGGAAGTACCCAAGAATCATTTGAGGC